ATGTGGTCTTTGGATTTCTAAACTGTCTTTACACAATTCTGAAGCAGAAACAAATTAGTCAGCTTTATGTCTATTGTTCCTTTTAACTTCATATGCAGAAATGGTAAATGTGGAATCCTTAAATTCAGAGAAATTCAGTTTCAAAAGTAATTGCCATCTAAAACCACAGCTATTTAAAAAAAAAAAAAGGGAAGGGGGTATTAACAACTGCTACATGCCAGAGTGTGTAGATAAAACAACTGAAACTGCCCAAAAGCCATTTTGTTAAGAGTAATCTAAAGATTTATGTTTCTGAAAAACTGCAATGAAAATGGTTATAATCAATAATAGACAGCAGATTCAAGTTAAGAAGTTTTATCATGGAAGTTAGTCCTTGTTCTACAATCATTTCTGAAATCATCTAGCTGTTAACTTCAGAAAAACAGTAGAAGGAACAAGAAGGACCTCAAACCATATTTTAAGCTGGAAAGACTATTTTGGGTTTAAAAAAAAAAAGTGAAGAAATACAGTTAAATCAAACACATACTCTCTGTTAATTCCGATACGATGTTGACAAGCTTCCATTGCTTCCTGAACAATCACCTAGTTATTTTACAGATTTCAAAAGCAAGATAAAAATAATCTGTAAAATGTAACATTTGCAGGAGACACAGGTGGTTCTTCTCTGCTGTTTATTCTAAGAATGCTTTCTGAACCCTGGGTTCTGTTCTTCAAAAGTAATTTACTGTGGACGGGAGCAGGGGACTCTCCTGTTCAATCTTGATGGAAGCCAATTGTGTATTCCTTCACAGAAGGATGAACTACATGAATTTTAAAGCAGCCTTAGGAAAGCTGATCTGGACAGTTGTAACCAGAAGGAACACACTTGGCAGGAATACCGGCATTCCATAAAAGCTGATTGTTACATACTGACTGACAACATTCCTGTCTCTGAGAGCAACTAGAAGTCGCATCTGATGAATACTCTTGCTGACAGAGCTCTTCTGTAGTGCACTTGCTTTGAGACTGATTACACGACTAATATTTCTGTTAGTATCCGAACAAATTAAGACAGCGAAAACCAGCACTTTTACTAACATAAATTACGACTGTTGGATAATAAGGATTGAAAACTAAGAAAAAAAGTCAAATTGATCCATGCACCAGCTTCTCTACACGAGCTGGATAAAAACCTGTCTTCTGTAAAGACATCGGTTCAGTACCTTTGCAGTGCCTTCCTTTCCTATACTGAGGCAAAGAGCTATAGTTAATTTAATTGCCGTATCTTCTGGCTTTCTCTCTACAAGACCTCACTAGAATGTACCAGCGGTTTTTCTATGCAGTTCTAATGAGATTAACAGCTACAGAACTTCTAACACGATGACAGTAATGACTTCAGTATGACTTCAATGTCATACCATAGGATAGATTTTTGCTTAATTTAACTAATGGGTACCAATAATACTCTGGTGGGGGGCGGGGGGGGAAATCACTAAGTTGTTTTACTGATTTACTTATTTAATTCAGGATGCTCACTGGTAAGACTAAGGGAAAACATTTTCATTCATTATTAACAGTTCACTAGGTATTACATAGCTAAACAATAATAATAATACACATAGCTACTAGTGTAAGGATGAATTTTTTTTTTCATGTCATGATGAACAATTAATCACTATTTGCTTAAAAAAATTGTTAACTTGGCAAATTTGAGTTTCAAGATGTTCTGCTTACTGTTTCAACAAGAAATAGTTTCCTGACAGAATTCTTCCTCTTACAACTTCATTAAAGCCTTCTCGTCGTGTTGCAGCATACATACTTTCTGTGGACTTGTTCATGTCAGAACGGTGTCCTGAAAAGAAAAAGCAATTTGTAAATTAGTACTTTTTGTAATCCTTCAGATTTAACAACATAAGGTAATGTTATACATAGTAATATAATAGGCCACTGTTTGCTGCAGTCTGACATGCTACTATTCTAGAAAAACAACAAAGCATATTCCTGTTTTACTATAGAAATATTAAACAGATTTTAAGCCCAGACACTCACGTGTCTCGAAGTGAAATATACTAAAATATGTGTTTATTTACTCTCTTTTATTTGGACAGGGTTTTTACTCTATACCATCTTGGAGAAATAACACCAAGCATTCAACCATGAGAAATGTATCTATTAAAACTAATACTTTTTAATGGCATCCAGCAATGTTTCTATTGCCTGAGAAAAAAGTTTTTTCAAAGGCCTTACCATATTCCAGTCCATCAAACCTGGCCATATTTGATGCCACTTCTGCTGTGCACAGCACATGATAGCAGACAATTGAGTAACGAGTATGCGGTAGACTCACTTCAACTACTTTAGCACCTGCATTCTTAAAGAGGTCAGCAGCCTTTGACCAGAGCGCCAGAATTTCACTAGAAAGCCCTGGTGCGTGATATTCCTTAGAGAAAAACAAGAAAGGGAGTGATTTTACATACCGGTTTACTTCTAATGGCAACCAAAACGCAAACACTCCTTGCTAAAAATACATTGAAACTATTACCTCACCACTATATGATTTAAAGTACTTATTAAAGATTCTTGCATCTACTAAATATTATACAATTTAACAGTATTAAATTAACAGCATTCAGTCTTCTTAAGAATATTATGCTCATCTCAGTAGGATCAACCCACATGTTGCAGACTATGGAATTTCAGCAGTTTCTTCTGAAGCAGAAATTGCCCAGTTATCCACTTATTTGTCTATCCATGGAGACTACTGCACTGCTCTGCAGTTCGTGGGTAGAAACTCTTCAGGTTTAAATCCTAATACTAGGGCTGCTGTGAGTAGGAAAGATAAAAAGAAGTTATAGCCACTGCTCATCAGTGACAACTGGCATGCTCCAGTGAAACAAACAAAACAACCCACCAAAGAAGAACTACAATCAAGGGGTTGGGAGAAGACTTAGATAAGCTACATTCCTGTTTAAGAGCTGAGTTAAAGATATTCTATTAAAATTCTCTATTTTTGAAGATACTTGCTTTCGTTCTAACCCACAATATCAGGGTCATAATACTGTCTGATTTCTGAGTAGCTATGACCCGTGTTTAATATACACATGTATCTGTTTAGGATAATCTGTAGCAGTAGCAAACAACTGTCCAAAGGATACGAATAATTAACCAATATCACTATTTTAGATTTATCAAAAACTAAACAGTATGCAGCTAATTAATTTTCTAGGCATACAATTTTTGCGTTTCACAGATCCTGAATGGTTCTGGATCTGCCCCTAAGGTCAGCGGGCACCTGTGTTTACCAAATTAAATCTTTTGGTATACCTGTTCTAGCACAGGTTCAAATACTGAGAATCAAACCAATAAATGTTATTCACATTGTCTCTTTGAAGGCAGAGCCTTTACTAAACTGAAAATAGGCTGAAGTCCCAAATGTTGTGCCTAAATTGCAAGTATCCTTATAGTTACAAACATGATTGAATTGCATACATCAGAAACCAGATTACTATCGTCTTTCAATCCTTAGAGCTCTGCGAATCACAGCTCCTTGTGCCACTCAATTGCCTTTAAAATTCTGCTTCGTATTAACGCAGTGCCATTTAGACAAGTATCTCAAAGCACTGCACAAAACAGTACTAACCTCACTGTGTGAGAAGGCACTAAGGGCAACTTGTTTGAGGTTATACAGGTGACTGATAAAAGAGCAACAGAAAGAACCAAGAATTGAAGTTCCCCGTTTCCCTTGGAACTTCCTGACAGAGCTTCCCACGATGACAAAATGTTTTAGATGAAGCATTAGCATATGCTCGCTCCGAATCACCTGCACAGGCAACAGAGCACATACTGCTCTTTTCCAGGAGCTTCTTGTACTGTCTTCACTGTTTTAAATCATGAGAGACTGGGAGGTGGTGGGCAAGACACAAATATTTTTTTGTTAGGCGTCCTATTTGCTGTTCCTGTCCACAATTGTTGACAGGATTTAAATGTTACCTTCGGAATTCCTATTGAGAGCTTGCTGACATCAGTCAAATTGGGTAGTTCAAATGGCTTAAAGTTGTCCTGAATTGTGGTAGAGTCTTTAGGATCATGTCCAGCAAGTGAACCTGAAATATGACATGACATATGAAGAACAGGAAAATGTACACTGGGTAGCTAGAATTCAATTTTTTTTGAGACAATGTTGTAAACAAAGATATGTTGTATACAAAGACATATGCAGTAGTAATACCTAACACAACTGCTGCGTCATCCACACATCTGGTTAAGATTCCTGGCACATCCATGGAGTTCACTAGAGGAATGAGACCATGGCGAGAGATCAGTCCATATGTTGGCTTTAAACCTACTACACCACAGTGAGCAGCAGGGTTTCGCGTAGATCCTCCTGTGTCTGACCCTAAGGCTCTATAGTTTCAAAAGGATTATCATTAGTAAAGTAATTCAGAACATTTCCAAATAATAAAAATGTATGGCTTCAAGATGCATGGATTTAAAAATGTGTGAATTCTTCCAGATTAGACGTCATAATCACACAGCCTAAATTTCAGTCTGCTCCCTATGTCTGCTATTTTTTATCTGTTCTCTTGTTTTTCTTCGGGTCTCTGAATTAGCCATCAGGTGAGTCCAGTTCTCTTCAGAAAGCAGAGGTAGACCAGTAGAATTTAGGCCATCTGAATATGGTCCTAAATATCTACTTCTGCCTTCTCTGTTGGTCTGTTCCAATACTGCGGACTCCGAAAGATACGCCTCATGTGATTTAGTTCATGATTTTCAGACATTGATATCTTATTTATTCAGTAGCCAATACTCCATGAAGCAGCATCTTCCAGTATACAAATAAATAGCGACACAGTACACTTCTTGCCCCTAATAACAGGGCATACTTTTCAAAGTCTAGGATGTTTTTCCTGTTTCCAAATCTACAAAGCATAGCATCAGAACTTCCAGCTTATAGTAGCTTAGGTGCAATTTTAGGACACAGTTTTTTGGGTTTTTTTAAGTTGACTTCTTTTTTGTTCTTTCACAGGTGAAACCTTGTTCTTTCTAAATTGAAGTTTTTATTTCAAAAATTGTAATGGAATTGGAAATTCATATTGAAATGAAACCTGCTCTTCTCATTTTTAACAATTTTAACTCAAGCACCATTTAAAAAATAAACACATAAAAAATAATCCAAATCTTTGCCAAAAATAAATTAAACTTCAGAAGGAGGTATAATTTTTATTGAAGTGGGTATGTGACTTTTCCCATAGGCATCTGTTTCTGAGATGGCTGAACCAATTCAATTGACTTTGCTGAAGTGGAATTTTTTCAAGGCTTTTGTGTTGATATAGAACATCCTCAATTTTGCAGCATTTCTGTACATCCAAATCTCAAACTGAAAAGACAAAGACTGGCAGCATTCCTGATGCTTGAAAGAAACTAATAGAGTGGATATACAATAGGTTATAGGCAATAAAATAGCTGGACGAAAAACCTACCTCATCTGACAAAGTGCTAAGCAGTGCAAAATGGGAGTTCAGCATGCCCAGCAACATAAGAGAAGGTGCCAGACCCTATCAGGATCAGCCCATTCTGGCTCAGGACAAGGACCAGCAGTCCTTGGGAATGGCTGCACTGAGTTCAGTTTCAACAGTATTAAAATGTTGAGCAGACTACATCCTAGCAAAGGGCCATGAGATGAAGAAAGGTATAATTTAAAAAATCATAAAATAAATAGGGTTTTGTATATTAAAACATAGTATTTTTTTTAAAAAAGCTGCAATCAACATTAGCAAAAAATATTTTAACAATAAAATAGACGCTTATAATATAGTCTATGGGTAAACAAAGACACAATTACTAAAGAGCATTCTTAAACGCCTTCCAGTTAATAGCACAACTGAAATCATCTGCTATAAAATGTGCTCCACTATGTAGCTCTAAAAACTGCATAAAATAAAAGGTGTAAAGTTTTAAGGATCGGATTTCTTTTAACAGTTGGATGGGGAAGATAGTATAGACCACTGATTTGTTAAATAGTGCGTTGCTATTCCATGCAGATAATAATTATTGTAAAAAAAAAAATTCCGGCTTGTTTAAATTGATTAAAAAAAACCTACAAAAAACTAAACCTGTCTTTAACTTTTTAAAACAGACAAGTTTGTAAGTATCTCTGTAGTAAGTATCTGTGTATCCTTTTAAGTCAGGGATATGAAAGCTTTTAGATCCCAAATCTCATGTATTATTACATAACTCTGCTATAAAAACAAAGGAGGGGAGGAAAGATTATTATACTGTTACAAATTAAGGGATCTCCTAATTTGCTGAATTACATTTTCAGCATGTATTTGTGTAATGCACTTACTGAGGAAGAGGCTGTGTCACAAACCCCACGTTAATTTTAAGAGAGTATGCGGGAATAACAATAAAACTGTCCTTCCTTTACTGCCATTATCATTTTATTTCATGCAGTGCAAAGTGGTCATATCAGTCTGCTGAATAACAGTTTAAATGAATATGCCTGAATTTGCCTACATGGATTCATTCTGGCTTCATGATAAGCCACAAACAAAATAGGGATGCTGAAATAAATTCTTGCATGCCCGTGCAAATAACCCTCACATTTCAAACTAGATTATGAGAAAATTATAAAATTAAAACCTTCTGACATATTTGAGACATTTAATAAAAAACAATTTTAAAAAGCCTCTTACGCAAAACATGTGAAAGATGACACAGCCGCCGCACTGCCTCCTGAGCTCCCTCCTGTTATTACCCAGTTAGACTCTTCGTCCTCAGAACAGGATTTTGGGACGGATTTTTCCTTGTACTGTCTTGAGTAACTCCAGGGATTTCTGACTGGTCCAAATACCCCATCCGTACTCCCAGATCTAAGATAGTCAGACACGACAAATACACACAGAAGTTGACAGATGACACACTGCATTCACCAAGGTTCTTTTCTTTATCCAGTTCCTCATCCTTCATCCTAGCAAATTCAGTTTCAACTCAAAAAGACTGGTGTACGTAAATCCTTGTGCAGTCAACTTCAACAATGTTACACAGAATTGTAAAGTTTATAGGTCTTCAGCCCTTTCTGACACAGAACCTGAACTCATACCTCTAACTTCTTCTAATGCCACTGAAAAGAATGTAAACACAAAAATGTAAAACTGATTTAAGCTATGTAACAGTAAAGCTGCACGTCTGCTTCAAAACGTCTTCTGGTTTCCTAACCCTGCATTTGGAAACGGCAAAAGAAGATTACCACAATCTCGTGGAAAACCGTGCTGCTAAAGGTGGGAGGAAAGCCCCGCAACAGCGGAAAAAAGCACTTCTCTGCAAATAATACACTATAACTCACTCTGTAGCCCTCTCCTGAGGCCACAGTTCGCTGGTTCAGAGTGCTAGACTGGCTTCTCAGAAACTTGTTTCAGTCAGCTTGTGGCAGTGTGAGCTGCCACCAGAAGCGGGGACAGGATGTACTTTCCTCCTTCCTCACAACTTCCACCCCATGTTCCCCCTGACTCCAGGGTGCCAGTGTTATTAGCCAAATCATCAGACAGAGTGGGCAGCTGACACAGCACTTGAAAACTAACCTTACTGAGACACCATTACTTTTGAGCTGGATCAGCTCCCTGATCAAGCTCATGGTGCAGCCGTGTTGCTGCTAGCATAAGAGACCATGCAAACACACAGACCAGAGATGAGAGGCCAGTGGTGGGATAAGCTTTTTTTAGGAGTATCCTGTGCTTTAATGAACTTACACCAGTTGTAATACTGCACAATCGGTCTGAGGAGTGTCTCTTTGACACAGAAATGACCTTATCTAAAACAATACAGTCAAAGTATTTCCACTCCATCCATCTGAATTCCCAGTCAAACCTGTCTTCGGTTTAGGTAAAATAAAACCAAAACACACCACTTATTGTCTCTCATAAGTAACTAAAGTCCCAGACATTCCTTTCCAGACCCAACAGTTGTGGTGACAGAGACTCCCATCCATAACGGCCCAATGTTCTTCCTTGCCGTAGCTTGGCTGCATTCACCGATTTGCTGGAGAATCAATTTGTGAGAGCATTTTCCAACGCGCTCTTGACAAAAGTCACCAACATTAGCCTAGGCAATTTAAGTGTTGCCTGTTTGTGGCAAATCAGAGAGTACTCATACAAATTACTCCAGTGGCTGACTGGCAGAGGCAGTGACTGCCATGGGGGGAGGGGCGTGATAATAATTAGCTAAGGGCAAAAACCACCAGTAAGGAGAGAGAAAAAGGCAGCAATTAACTAGTGTGGAACCAATTCTACTAAGGTACTACTGGATCTGGAAGAAGTCTGCTCATCCTCGGCCTTCTGCAAAGGCTGTACCGCTTCCTCCCTCTCCAACACAGCTATAGTCAAACACTATGTTAATAAAACTCAGCATTTATATCGTTTACACAACAGTATACATACTCAGGGAAAAATTCATGCAACTCTAGATACTCTTCACGGGTATTCATTATTTTCTAACCTCAAAGAAAGAGGAGTTAAGGATTACAGGTAGATCAGAACAGATGGTGTGTATTCTATTTAATGTGCGATCACACATTAAAAATAATAAACATCACTCACCCCATTGCAAACTCATCTAGGTTTGTTTTTCCTAAAAGCACAGCTCCCTGATCCAGTAATTTCTGAACTACTGTAGCATTGTAAGGAGAAATATAACCTGAAAACAATCAGAAGAATTAAGAATGATTGGTGATACAGCTGATTTAGAAGTAGCTACTCTGAACACTTCAAAGTTATCATTATTTATGCGTAAGAATTGTCAGTTCACAGTGCCAAAATTTTGCTTCAAGACAGCATGAGTAATTTCCAAAATGCAGCAAAAGTAAACCAAATGCTGTTTTGTTTGCAATGTCTTTTTTTTCCTCCACAACTTACAGCCCAGTACTTCTGGACTATAGATTTCTAGAGTATGGAGCTAAGACTTCACATAAACAAGTTACCACAAGGGTAGCAAATTACTGCATTCAGCCAATTTGCAGGAACTGCCTGAAATTAGAAGAAATGAGAAACGGCTCTTTACAGAAAAGTGCTAAGCTATCTTGAATTATCTCCCATCACCATGAGATAAAGGAGCATATGGTTAACCACAAGCTTAAATACTAACTGACTATCCTGTGATCAAACGTGTGCACCCTTGACCACTTACACCTTACATAAACTAGGATGAGAACCATGACACTTACATGAGAGCCTAGGTAGCAACCATTTCCTTCTGCGAATATTGACAGGGGTTTCTCCGCCCCCACCCTCAACGGCAACAACAAGGACATCACTCCTAATACTCTCAGCCATGACATTGCAATCAATCGCAATGGGTCTGAGAATGTGCTTTAAGGAAAAGCATCTCGGGTAATATAACACTTTTTAAAATAGCAAAGTCGTATTTTGTTTCTTCTGCTATTAAAAAAAACCAACACATAATCAGATTAGGGTTCTGCTAATTTACTTGAGTTATCTTCCACAAAACTTTTCAGTTTTACTTTGTGCAGAATAAAACAGATATAAGAAATGTTTTCTACTTTTGCTTGTACTATGAAAACATTCTAATGCCTTGGAAATGTTTATGGATGTTAAAAGAAACAAGGAGCTTAGGAAATTAAAAAAAAAAAAAAAGCCTTACAGAATGTGTTTGTATATCAGGAATATAGAGAAAAGAATTGTTAATGTCTACTCTTCCTACAGTCATATGAAAAAACTACTGAAGTCAACAATTATCAACAGAAAAAAAAAGAAGACTGTCTTTGGATTTTGATAGACAGAACAGCAGCAAACAGTACTAACTGCTCTCCTGTAGACCTAAAAGTAACGTGAAGCAAAATGTGAACTATAGAACAATTCGATTTTAGTATACAGGCTATAATAAACATTGCGTTGTTAAAAGCACGCAACTGTATGAATAAAGGAGATAATGTGCTTACACAAGAAAAAGATGCATCTGTAATACCAGATGAGCTTGGCAGGAGAAATTAGATAAACGTATTTTCTCAAATCAGTTCAGCTCATTTTTTGAAAATATTTAGATTTCTGGAAAACTCCACTCCATAAACCCTCTAAAAAGAAGAGCAAGAGCTCTGAAATGAGATCTGATTTTACTTTAAAAGCTCTACTGTACCTTTTAGCATGTTTGATGCACATGTTGTCTCAATGCCAGCTGTATTAAAGTTGTCTTTTACTGCAATAGGAATTCCATCTAAAACACCCAGCGGCTGACCTGCATTAGGAATTATTGCAAAGACAACAGAGATTAAAGCAAAGCGTGCTATATGTATAGTCTTCTCATCAATTACCATTTATTTTACATGTCCCTTTGGGTGTTTTTTGGAAGCAAGAATGCTATCCGCTTAGCATTTGATAGCTGTCTGTTACATATTTCAAGAACAATCTTCCATTCTAACTCTAGCATTAAGCGTTCTGCCCAAACCAGACCTGACCCCGCAGAGCAGACCAGAGCAAGACAGGCAGCTGCTTTCATATAGGTTAGCTATCCCAAAGGAGTGCTTACCTCTTCAAATATGACCATGTAACGCTTATTTCAGCCATAGGTGCTGCCTAAATCTACTCCATCCCTAGGCTGGGAGACATAAATTCTGCCTACCCAACATACACAGGAGGTATGAGCTAAAAAAATTACTGAAGCAAGGAAAATCTTCCCTAGGTGATTGACTATCTACCATCCAGGGGAAAAAAAAGTTAAAAAAAATTAAGAGACCTATGTCAGGAAGCAAAACACTCTGGCTGGCAATTTTCTTAAGCTGCCAGAGGACACCAAGTATCACCCAGGAAGGAAAACAAATACCCTATTAGGTGAAAATTTCCCTTTTCTGTCTCCCAGGAAATGCAAAGGAAAATGAGGATTGTCAGCCTCTAAATGCCACAGATAACAGGACTGAATGCTATTCTGTTCACCAACTAATAACCGCAATTAACAAAGTTGCTTTATTTTCATTTGCTTTCTTAATTTAAAACCCGATAGGCTGAGCCAGGTGTTTGTCTACCCCAGTCAACAAGCCTGCAAAAGACCACTGCATCTTCCTGTTCATGGTAACCGTTGGCTACCAATTCAAAATAAACTGCTGAGGGAAAGAAGAGGCAGCCAGCAGCAGTGCTGTTCGAGAAGCACAGAGCCTATTTAATCTGCAGTGCCGGGTTTGGTCCACGTTTTGCTTTTGATTTTTGAAGGCAATACACTACTGGGTGCCAAGCATACACCCCTGAGCATGCACCCACAGAAGCCTCAACCGCAAGCCTCATCCCCTAACAGTCAAACAAGTAGTGCATACACCTGCTTTAAAAAGAAAAGGTGCTTCATCTAACACAAGAGCTCCTCCACAACAGCTTTTTAAGGATTAGAAGTAGGAGCAAACATACCTCTTCTGTATCTTTTCTCTGATTCTTCAGCCTGCTTCAAAGCAGTTTCTTCCGCCACGGTAATATAAGCATTAAGAAACTTGGTGCTTTTGATGAGGGAAAGGCACCTCTGGCAGAGCTCCGTCGGAGTAACATGTCCCTCCTTCAACGCTGCCGAAACCTGAAAGCGCAATCCCCCTTTCAAGGCCGCCAGGTGACAGAGCCCGCTTCGGGGCGTTACGCGGATAAAGCGCGACCCCCGCTGCCACTTCAGGAAGGAGCCCGCAGGAATGAGCTCACCCCGGG